ATTTGGCACATGAATTCCTTATATGGAGGTATGTTGTCTTTCTACTCACCTTCCTTTGTTTCTTTATTTGGCGCATGGATTCCTTATATGGAGGTATGCTGTCCTTCTTCTCAAAACCACTGGTTACAACACTCTTTTTTAGAAGCTGAAAACATAAAACACTCAATAAACACATGAAATCATTTTGTTTTTGAATGCCAAAGTCAACTTTCACAAAAAAAAAGCAAACAAAGAAGTTTTTTTATATTAAATAAACATTTTAAAGTCTTTTTTTAAAATAAATTTTGAATGATGATTGAGTATCACATGTGTCCAATCACAATAGATTGGCGAATGAAAACTGACAATAGAATTCCACAGCAGTAAGTGTGAACTTTGACCTCACAATAATTTCACCGCTTCTAGAAAATGGACACAATTAACAGTTTTACAAATTTAAATAACTGTAGTGACAATACTTGTACTATTTAAAATGTGAATGATTCTATTTTGAATCTTTTTCATCATTTTGATTGTGATGAATGTTCTGCAGAAATCAACCGTGATTGAAGAAAAGACAGAATAGCCAATGAACACCCCTTTTTCAGATGCTGAATTGTTTGAATTAACATATATGTTTGTATTTGTTGAACATCCACATTTAGTAACTTTAATTAACTGTTAACCAAACTTTGATTTAGGCAACGTATTCAATCTTGTCCTTAACTTGAGTTTTGGTTAACAATTAATTGAACATTGAGTTACAATTGGGTGTGGTTTCTAAAATATGGGCATGGTTATTTTTGTAACTGGATGTTTTCATAACTCAATGTCCATAATTTGAGCAATCTCAATTCCCCTTTTTTATGATTTGAATGTAATGCAAGTGTTCTCTAACGTGATTATTTTTTATATTTTCAACTCATGCGATTTTAATAAAAAATTGTAGTGAGAAATCTTACCTGATCTTTTTTACTTTTTAACAATATGTTTTCAATAGCTTTCTTGCTATTCCTTGGTTTGCTTTCATCTAAGTTAATGTAAATATTACTGGTGTCCATTCCTGAATCCAATGACGATGACACCTTGGGTCTGAAGCAAAAAATAACATGTAAAATATAGGAAAAAAGGTATATTCGCTGGATTTTATTTTCACTGAATCATTCCTTCAGCGAAAATTAATTCCAAGCGAAAATAAAGTAGTCCACAGTATGTAATTCATAAATGCATAATTATAATATTGCAACCACGTCAGTTTATCAAGTGGTGCCTTGTATCTTGTTGAGGTACATGTATGGTACCGTAGCAGGGGTTCGGTTGTCTTAAAATTACCTCAGAACATTTGTCCAAAATGGAAATGCCTTTCTAATTACATGTGTATCTGGCTGCAAATCAGTAATTTTAACAATAAAACACTTTGTATGAAATGATTGAACAAATTAATTAAGCTTAGAAAGAACTCCCGTGTGCTGAGAGTATTGGAGACACATTAAAATTAATTCAAAATTTAAGATTTGCTTTTAAACGAGAAGCTTGGCAACTAATTTTTGTCTGCTATTTGAGATGCATAACATAAAAAAAATGTGATTCACATCATCAAAATTTATAATACATACAGAAAATACATTTGATTTTTCATCCAGGATTTTTAGTCTAATTTATTCCAGAGCACCTCTGCGATGAATTCAAATTAAATCTGATTTTTTTAGATATCAGAAATAATAATAGATAATCAATATGCATGTTTATCAACATTAAACTAATCATGCATGTGGATTACCTCAATGAACCAAATGAACTATTATAAAAAACTAAGCAATTATTATGCATAGATTTAGGTCTGTATATTGTTTCAGGGTACACATGTACAAAGTTTTATTATAATGTGATGTTTAATCATAACTAAATTAGTGGAAAGCTGAAAAGTAAATTATTATGTAAATTAGGTAATTATTAGATGTATATAAACCTAAAACTAATTTGATCATCACATTGTGTTAGAGTACATATGTACTCATTACTGAGATTCATTGAATTAAGATAAGTACTGTCATAGACCATTTATGTACGAAGTTTTATTGAAATGTGATGAGAACCAAAAACTATGATTTATTATGCAAATTAGGTAATTAATATGATCTGATTTTAATTCAAAACTGAGTGGATCTCTGTGCATTGTTCTGAAGCATCAATGTACCAAGTTTCATTGAAATGGAATAATCAGTACATGTGATATCAGTGTAAAAGCTGAAAATTGGCTAATTATGCAAATTTGGTGATTAACATGCACTGATTTTAACCCAAAACTAATCAGGTCTGTGCATTGTCCTAGAACATCTATGTACCAAGATCCATTGAAATCGAATAATTAGTACTTGCAATATCAGTGTAAAAGCCAAAAATTAACCAATTATGCAAATTAGTTGATTAATATGCACACTTAAAATTAATCAGGTTTTTGGATTGTTTTAGAGCATCTATGTACCAAGTTTCATTGAAATAGCAATGAAGTAATAGTACTTGAAATATCAAAAGCTGAAAATTGATTAATTATGCAAATTAGGTTGAGAGATGAACTATCAATTAGAACTTGAGAGATGTATGTTGAGTTTTATAAACCTTGAAGGGCTCTTGGAAGATACCACCCGCAGTAAAATTAGCGATTGCCATGGACGTGCAACCATCAACATCGAAGAACCAAGAGGTTTCTGCTGGCGACGTTGTTCCAAATAAAGATTACCATCGCCAAATGAGCAACAATTAAACCGGTCATCATAATTCATTCAATCCACGACCAACAAGCAACATCACAAGTGAAGTTTTAGCATGCAGCTCAGCGACTGCCACAGTCAACGAAAGTCATCCCATCAGTGGAGTACTGCAGTTGCATGGCATGTTTGCCAATGCACTATCCTTACATATTCTACTCCCAATTATTCCTGCGTAAAATGGAATAACCTCTTCCCATGTTGACATTTTGAGTAAAGTCACGTGATAGGCTGTTAAAATTGGCTGTTGCATACACTTTCGCCGGTCTGGAAAATGTGTTGAATTAGCTCTCATTCAAGCAACAATGCAGATTTCCCAGTGAGAGTGAAACTAGTTCGACTCTGCCATTAAAAAGTAGGGGTGTTTTCAGCAAAAAACAAATAACCCTGAAGTGCACACAATACACTGAATTTTGGAACGAATCTCGCATTAGTTACAGCAGCAGAATATCACAGAAATATCAGACGAAACATGAAAACACTATATATTGTATTTTGGCCTGAACCCTCTCTATTGCAATTCCAGGAATTACCCCCATATATGCAACGATTTTTCATTTTGGTATCACCTACCCCTGAAAACAAACTGAAGCGTTTGGTAATAATTAATAACAGAATATATCAATTTACAGAAACAAATAATATAATACATGTAAATGATAATCAAGCAGGTTTTAGGAAAGGATACAGTATCACTGATCAGATCTTTGTTTTAAAAACAATTGTTAATAATATAAATATATTAAACAAAATGGAAAACTATATACTTGCTTTTTTGACTTCCAAAAAAGCATTTGATAGTGTTTGGAGGAACGGCTTATGTTATAAATTACTAACCAATAGTATTGATGGGAAAATATACTATTTAATTAAGAACTTATATGACAATACAAAAACATGCATTCGTTTTGAAATAAAATTACACCTATATTTGAGACAAGTAAAGGTGTAAGGCAGGGGTGTGTGATCAGTCCAATACTTTTTAATCTGTATGTAAATGATTTAAATAGTACATTAGAAGATGATACTTCAGTAGACCAGGTTACATTAAATAATAAGATAAGCTCATTATTCTATGCAGATGATTTGGTATTAATTTCAAAAACAAATACAGGATTGCAAAACGCATTAAACAAGTTAAATGACTACCAGTACTGCTATAAATGGAATCTCCCGTGTTAATCTCACAAAAACAAAAGTATACCAAGGTCACAACATAAGTTGTGTTAATACTTGTATTCATCTTGGTATTTCTATTCAATCTAATGGTAAATTTAATGTAACCAGAAAATACCTACCAAATAAAGCTACTAGAGCTATGTATGTGTTATTGAAATCATTACCCAAAGAGGCTAACTGTAGAACATATCTACACTTATTTCAAGCATCTATAAAGCCAATACTGTTATATGGTTGTGACGTTTGGGGTGGTGACATTTTGGAAAACTCAAAATGGGAGAAAACAAGTATTTAACAAATACATATAAAATTTTGCAAAAAGTTATTGGGGGTAAATAAGCTTTCTTCAAATGCAGCAAGTAGAGCTGAACTTGGTGAATTCCCACTGTTGATTGATATTAAGGGAAATCTTATAAAATACTGGTCTTGTATCAAAGAGCTTCCAGAACACAATCTCACAAAACAAGCCTTTCATGAACAGAAGAAGTTAAACTTGCCATGGATGAATTCTGTTCAAAAATTGATAAAAGAAAATGGGCCATTCTAGTTTATATCTGCACCCCACCCCCACCCCGCCTGTTGATGTGGTCGGATTTCCAGCACTGTATGATGGGGAAAATACCCCGGAATTCCAACTGTATATGGAGAAACAGAATCTGGAAATCCAGACGAGTATGGAAAAAAAAATTCCTGGAAATCCAGGCAGTTATGGCTACTAAATAAAATATGGCCTAGTTTATCTCGCCACATACCGTTTGATGAGGTTGGATTTCCAACAGTATGACTACAAGTACAAAAACTTTGAATTCTGACTGCATATGGTAAAAAACTTTGGCCAGTATGAAATAGTTATTACTGAAATTAGAAAAGGATGGTGGCACGAATGAGCTCATCAACACCATGAATCAGGACTAGTTTGGATTTCCATTATCAAATATAAAATTTTGAACTTGGTTAATTAGCATATGATGAGTTATATTTGGAAATCCTACTCTGTATGGTGGCACAATGGAACTCATCAACACCATAAGTAGGAACTATAGTTTTGGATTTCCATAACTGTATGGTGAATGGTGATTTGGAAATAAAACTTTGTATGACTTATACACCCCTGGAAATTATACCCTGTATGAAGTAAACACACAAGCTCATCAACAGGGGGGGTGCAGATATAAACTGGAATGGCCCAATATCTCGATGAATAACCAGTCAGACTTATCACCCAGGGATATTAAACTTATTACCAACAACATCAAAGAAAAATTCATGGATTGGTGGAAAGTAACCATAAGCAACCAAAATGACACTCTTATTTTAAAACAAAGACATTGCATATCCAGATTTAGATTTAGAATTAGCAACCATCCATCAGCATCAACAGAGAAAGGTAGACATACTCAACTAAAAACACCTCTAGAAAATAGATTATGTATACATTGTTCAGAAAACAAAATAGAAAACGAGGTACATTTTTTCATGGAATGTCCAAAATATTACAATAACAGACAAAAACTATTGAGAGATGTAATAATTCCAAACACAACCCACAACATTAATCAGAAATTTATATACCTGATGAGTTGCAATGATGTTGAAATTATAAGACAAGTAAGTGAATATGTATATGCCATATTTGACTTTAGAACAGAACATCCAATTAAAAGATAATTCTTACATTTATCATTTTTTTTTACTTTTGTGCATTTTTTATTTTTTTTATGTATTTCACTGTTATTGCTCTTAACTGATAAAAATTTATTTCAAGGATGCAATAAAATTTGAATTATTATTATTATTATTATTGATATTCACTCAAATTTGAATTTGGAAACTAGTCTGAATCTAAGGCCAACTTCAGCAATAATAATCTGAGAATGGATCTGAGGATAGCTGTGTGGCATGGTATAATCGTTTTAATACATATAATACAAGTATACTCACTGATTCATTTGATTTATTTTTTTCAATAAATTAACGGATGTGTCTTCGGGCAGAGGCTTTTTTATTTCAACGACAACATCGGCTTCGGAGTGAGGACCACTGGTTTCTCCAATTGACGGCTTACAATCAACAATAAATGGCAATAACGAAGCATTTTCCTCATCGTCGCTATCTGACGATTCCGAGTTATTCCTCTCATTGCTACCAGAATCGTTTCGGTCGGGTTGCTTTTTCGTATCTTTGGCTTTCAAAATATGGCTTGCCGCCAATTCTACAAGTTCGTCTAAATCAGAATCACTCTCATCATAACTATTGCTGCTTTCAGAGTCACTTTCACTGTCAGTAACATCTTGTGAGACCATTTCCGTGAGTAATCCGTTGCTACTATCGGAATTCTGAGAAGCTTTCCGTGAACCACGAGTTTTCATGGGCGACGCCATCTTGAATCAACCTCGACCTGTAACCTCTCCACTATCTGTGTTTGAGGGCGTATTAAATCATGGGCCACGACCGAGGCATTGACGCTGCAGTTCGGCGTCTTCCGTTGACGACACAACGCGACCGAGACGTATTGTTCATCTAAATGAATTTTTTGGTCTTATTTATTTTCATGTATAACGTGGTATCGCTAGATTTTCCTCACATTTACCATATTTTATTTTATGCTGAAAAATTTTTGAAAAAAATGTATGTTCACTAAACAATTTTAAGCACAAAAAATGTGTCAAACGCCCATAAAAATGGCGATTTACGAGCCATTCATTGACCATGAGTTGTGTCTCAATCCAAAATGTGATAATACTTTGCTTTTATTTAAATGCCAGCAAACGTCCTTAATAAAAATAACATATGAGGACAATTAGGTGACATAATGTGTTCAATGACGGTAATATGACAGAATTCTGGAAAATTGATAAATTTTCTCTTGCTAACCTTTCAAATAGCGTAGAATACACATATTGTAATCAAAGCAAGTAAATTACTAATCAAAGTTCTACGATCATTATCGATACGCGCACATACAGAGAATGTAATAAGGCAGAACGACAACAGTTCCTTGAACAACCAACCAACAGGATATTGTTCGACTTCTCTACAGTTTCAAGCAAGGTACTAGTAGGCTATGTTTTTTAAGAATGTATGCAAATTAGCAACTACTAAACTGTAGTGTTCGAAGTATTCCGTCCGAGATAGGTAACATTTTAATTCGGTTGTCAGACATGTTGCCTTGTAACCATGTAAAAGTGTATTTCATTTATTTACGAATTATAAAATGCCTATTAACCAAATAATCAAAATTCAAAAAATGTTTCACAAGAGATGAGCATACTTTTTGATGATTAATGTGAAAGGGGATATAATGTTTTTAATATTTTGAGTTGCTTTGAAGATTACCAACGAATAATTATGTTAGTTCTTGCTATATTTACGTAGAGTAATTTGTATTGCCTCATTATGATAACATGGAAAATTAGCAAAATTTATTAAATGGTCTGATCAAAAT